AAAACTCACTTAAGATTTTCACTTGACGTTTCATGAAATACGCCATCTTTTGCATTAAACCCGCCGTTCATAATTAAGAGGGATTCTGAGAGCTCTAGCAGTAGGCCTTGCCAAGAACTTTGTCGCTTTTGGTGCAAGTACATAATATGGCCGTCATAGTAGGACCAGAATACTCTTAGAAGGATCCCTTGCGTTATGCACTGCGCTTTCTTTTTGATGAATTTTCTCTATAAATGACTCAATACAATTTACGAAGACACTTAAAACCACACATTGTAACAATTATAAAAAACTCATATTTGATTTCTGAAGAGACTGAAACGACTGAATCTCCCAGATAAGCCACTGCAGGCTACTAGATCACCGTATAACCAAATTGATACGTTTTATTGTCTTAAACTAAGCAACTGGTATACTTTTTACGACGAGAGCGATTGAATACTAGATGCTTGATGGCTCGATTAGTGCTCCTTTTTCACAACGATCTGCATGCGTACAGTACTGGGGACCAGGAAAGGTAATGGATTTAACTATAGACGAGCACCATTACAAGAACGCTAAACCACTTAGAGGTGGACCTCGGCTTCAGTTGCTCCCCCTTTTGGATGGAATCAAGAATTGGTTACTAAATAAGAAAATTTTAGCCTAGTCGTAAATAGCTTGGATTTGGCAATGCCAAGGGGCGCACGAAAAATATAATAAAATAGGCCCAAGACCAAGATTGAAAAATGGCTGGGTTCAATAAAATTCGGTGAGGCACAACTAGAACAACTTAGGTAGGAGCGAGAGATAAAGTAAGTGAGCATACAGAAATGAAGTTTGTAATGAAAAGCTCACAACCAAAGCTTCGAAATATTGATTTCGAGCCTTTAAGTAACTATGTTTAGAGCAAATAAACGTAACTTGTACATTTGACATTCGGCTGAAAATTGGCACACCGTCTTTTTAATGCGAATATACACAGCCTCAGCTCACATACTTGTGCTCGCAGTCGTCGCGCGAACCGACTAAAATAGCACAGTTTCACCTTATATGACATGTAAATGCGAAGTATTTTTAAACAAGACATTCTGTATCACCTTGGTGTACAGAGCATACGTAACAATTGCTTTCCCCTTCGGACATTACGTACGAGTATATACCGGTTATACATGCGCCAGTGTTAGCGGTGGCTCATATAGGAGAGGTACTTAGTGATGTGATGGTTGCGCAAGCGTCACCGGCCGCAATTTTCACCAAACTCCCCCTTTGCCCCACTGCAGACACATTGAGTTCAAAGTTTACGATAACAGTCTTGTAAACGGGGAACACCGCCACTTAAGTCGATCCATAATACACACTTATCGTAAATAGTTAAAAAATTCTGTAATCGAGACTTTGATACAACTTAGAGTGCAATTATTGCCACTCACACTGACCTCACCGAACTGCTACAGGAGAGCTCTGAAGGGAACACACAGCTTTAAAGCTACATTATTCCTTAAATTTTTAATTATCTATTTCTTGGTAAGGAGAACAGCCGGCAGACCGGATGAAACTAGGTATGACACTGACGCGAATAATTAAGCAAGCGAACAAAAAGATCGTCTATATAACTTGGCATCCCCACAAAAAGGATCGCAATAAAGCTGCCCTTCCTAGTCAAATACGGACGGACAAAGATATAGATAATTCCCTAAGACAAAAGCATCGGTAGTCTGAGAAAAACATATGGGATCTATACGGCGGCGTCTTGCTAACCAGGTGGTAGATAGTTAGTTGTTGCTATCTGCAGTCGTCGGGTGAAGATCAGTTTTTAGGAATCTGTAGCGGACGAATTATCGTCGACTCGGGGACAAAACGACAGTAAAGTCACACTCAGTAACTGGTGGCCGGCCTCACCATATGGAGGACTATCCAAGGCAGTACTTCCTGTAACAGACGACAAAATAAGCTGAAGTTTGCTCGAAATGCATGGCCGGTTGTGTGAGTACACACTCCGGCAAGTGACTGTTAGACACGACCTGCCACACCAGTTCGTCCACAGGAGCAGCGGCAAAGGGCCCAACGACGCAACTATGCACAAGATGATTGTGCACACCGTATGGAACTGGCTTAGTTGAACGACACTCCCTCAGGCCTATAAAGCGCGCCGCTGTTTGCATATAGAGGTTGGGAATGCGAAAACGACTGCGTGCATTCACGCGCGCTGCGTTTCAATTGCTACGCAATGCCTTGGCAAGCTGCACAGGCGTCTCAGTCTGATAAGGTAGGTTACGTAAGTTGCCGGACAGAGAAAGTTGAGGCGTATCAAGTACTTTCCCACTGAGGAATACCGTGCTTGAACAGACTATACTGTGCCAGTAAATTGGACAACTGACCATGGATTCGGAGCTTATAGTACATTGCTATTCAGCTGCTGGCAAAATGCTATCAGGGATGCCACCTAACAGAACTTCGACCCTTTTCCTTATTGGGAGAGGCTCGTGAAATCTACAAGCATACAGTTTCCTTAATAAGAGGTTGACAGACACTGTTGGAAGAGACGATAGTATTAAGTTAAAACCCTGGCCGAAATGTGTGACTTTAGTTGAAGCAGAACCTCAAAAAGGTTTTGCAGCAAAAAATTCAAACTCGTTTCTAAAGTCTGAGAAAATTTTTATCAAATGGTTAGCTAAAGGTTGGTCTAAGAGTAAGTTACCTGTAGAAAACGATGACTTCTTGAAAAACAAACAGACGTGCGCAAGGGGCTATCGAGGTTCAAGTTTAAGCATCCGCCACACGCTCAGCAAACTTAAATGCCGGCAAATTATTATATCACCACTAAGGTCAGTTCAGTCTGTTGAAAGAAAGATAGGCATGGTTCCTACATATCCTTATGGCCATCAACAGAGCTTGACTGGATTCGTATTTAGGAACAGTTTTTCATTTTCGTAGTGAAAACCAACCTTTTTATTACAGTCCAGTTTATCTGAGGGAATTATAGGCGGTGCACCTATGGAATCCCCCTTTGTCATAAGCAACGGGAGTATATCAAAAAGTTCGGAGCGGAAACATCAAACTGCAGAAGAATTCTAGAAAATGAACAGATGAATGAATTGGTATAATAGTTAGAAACATTGGCACTACCAAGTACCTTGTACAGTACTCCGTCTACGCATTCCTATGCGTGATGTTCCTGAACTACATGAAAGATGACGCTGTTCCAATTTTTAGCATGTGTCTGGACGCAAAAGCTTCCAAATCCTATAGTTCTCTTTTAAAAGAATATGAGAAAATAGTAGACTAAGATTATTTCATCGAATTCTTGAAATAAACTTGCAAAACATTTTGTTTTTGTAGTACATGGAACGGCGGAGAGGTCAAGATAAATTCGGAACAAAATGCGTCAAGACCAGAAATAGTAAATCGTTAGGTAAGGTCCTTCTAGTCTGAGAAAAACGCATTCCAGGCAAATAATTGTGACAGTTCGACCATCGGTTTCGATGATGTCCACCGTGTGCCCCACAGTTGTAGCAGCAAAGGGAGCAGGGATGGTGACTTACGCAGGGGTTTATGGTGCCGGTAGACTTGCGTAGCATCTACCTACACTCTCTCCTCCTCCCCCGCCTGGGCCCGGTGTCAAGACAGAGTCAAGAAGACCGGAGACGAGAGAGGAAGCAGGTGGACGGCTCGGACGGATCCTCACCTTGGCGTTCCACCACACCCCCTGGTCCACACAACAAATAACCAGGATTTCAACCAACACAACAGAGATTTGGAGGCTGGCACGGCCGAAGCCGCACCTGGGCGTGCCGCCAACGCCTCGCTCGGATCCCACACTGTGATGGGAGTGCCATAAAGGCCACATTAAAAAGGAGCCATTGCAGCCTGACTCTCAGACCGCCTCCAGTGAAGGAGGAGGTCCAAGGTACCCCGTCAGTTGGCAACCTTCCAAGCCACGGCTTCTAGCGCACCGTGATAGCTTCAAGCGCGTCAGATTAATTATAGTGAGGAAAATGCGCTGAGTCGTCGACCTCACTCTCCCTTCCCATTCCCACACCCCAGCCGCTGTCCGAGCCGGTCAGCAGACTGGAGTGGGGAATGGGCGCGGTGGCTGTCATGGTCGACTGACCATGACTGCGCGCGCGACGGCACGACCTGACCCCCCATACACACAACACCAGGATTTTACACAACGGGGGTTGAACGGCGTGTCTCTCACTTGCGTGAGAGTGCCGTGGAAGGTGCGGTTTCAGCCCGTTCCCAGCCCACCAGTCCGCCACTCCACACTCCACACAACACACACACACACACAACGTGACGAACTGCGTGAACCGAGAGCAGGCCTCAATCATCAGCCTTCCTATCCACGACGCTTGACGTGTCGGGATAGTCTCGGACTCAAGTCACCCGTGCAGCCGAAGCCGCATGGGGACCGAGTCGAGATGCACACTTCCCACTTGCGTGGGAGGCGGCAGTTGAGTGCATGAGGTGTGTGGGGCTGATGTCTGGTGGGGTGATGGTGTTAGGAGGTAGGGAGTGAGGGAATGTGTGGTGTGAACGGCGGTTGTCTACCGCAGGTCGTCGTGGATGCGCATGTGGCCGAATAGGCCCATGCGATGCCTGAAAGTGAGAGGACAGTGTGGGCAGTTGAGACGAGCTTGGTGGCTATAGGTGGGTGCTCCAGGCACTGGTTCGCCAGTCTCTGTGCGATGGATTCGCAAGTGGCCGACAAGGCCGATGCGTGAGGTGAAGGTGCGTGGACAATGTGGACATGAGAAGTCGGCGGTGTCAGTGTCAGCTACAGAGGAGGCGGTGGTGATGGTGGTGGTGTCGCGGACGGATGGAACGAGGGTGGGGGTGTGCGCGGTGGATGTGTTGGATGTGGTGGGTGTGTCGGGAGTGCGGTCAAGGCCACTCTCGTGGATGCGCATGTGGCCGAAAGGGCCCATGCGATGCCTGAAGGTGCGAGGGCAGTGTGGGCAGTGGAGGCGAGTGCGGTGGGTGTAGGTTGGTGCTTCACGCACTGGTTCGCCAGTCTATGTGCGATGGATTCGCAAGTGACCGACCAGGCCGATGTGCGAGGTGAAGGTACGGTCGCAGTGAGGGCAGGTGTAGTCCTGATCCTCTTCCCTGGAGTCGGGGGAGGTGGTGGTAGTGTCGCTTGCTGTCCGCGGGACAGTCGCCTGAGTGGTCGCCGTGGGAGCAGTGGGCGAGGAGGAGGAGGAGGGGGAGGAGAAGGAGGAGGATGATGGAAGTGGTGGGTCAGAAGAATTGTCAGGGTTAGTTGGCGGCGGAGATGAGGCGGAAGAGGCAGGCGGGGGACGATGGTTGCTGCCGTTTGAGAGGCGCAGTTAATCCGAAGATGTCCAACAAGTCCGATTCGAGCCCGGAATGTCCGTTGACATCGAGGACACGTTGGAAGCGGTTGTGCGGCGGCGTTGCTTACTGGGCGAAGTTGTGATTTGCGGGCTTCACGTTTCACTTTGGCGGCAGCGATGCGGTTGGCTTCGTAGATCGCAGCGCCTGTCTTCACTGTCCTCCTCCAGGTCGGTCGATCGAGTGCGAGCTCCTCCCAGTTGGTGGGGTTGATTTGCAGGCATTTCAGGGAGGACTTCAGGGTATCCTTGTAACGGCGAATCTGGCCTCATTGACGGCGAGAACCCGTCGCGACGTCTCCGTATAAGAGTCGTTTGGGTAGTCGCTCGTCGTCCATGCGCACCAGGTGGCCGCTCTAGCGCAGCTGCATTTGCCTCAGTATGGCGTAGATGCTGAGGATTCCCGTCCGTTCAAGCACATCAGTGTCGGGGATTCGATCCTGCCACTTTAGCCTCAGGATGCGACGAAGGCAAATAATTAACCGCAACATAACATACAGGCAAATAAAAGAATCTAAGGACAGGAGATCAAAGCACTCTGGATGCGAATAAAGGTGAAAGATAGGACGTCGGTTTGGACATCACAGTAAATGCGCGATTTTTTTATTTGTGTGCAAAAGCACTTGTTTAGTAATAAAGAGAATACAGAAGTGCACAATTGCCTGTAGCCGCACGTGCGACTACTCACACCCTTCCAGAGAACACATTTGTTTGCTGAAATCGACACACAGTGACTATCCGAAATTTGTGCAAAACACAGTGTCAAAACAACTGGAGAGCTACAAGAGTAATTTGTCCCCCGAAATATTGTCGACATGACCTAGTAATATGCTAAACAAGCTAATTTCTTCACAGCACAGGCTTAAACTAAAATTAGCACTAACGGATAGGGCAAAAATTCCCCAGTTTAAATCCTGTTTAAGTTCTGAAGTCGACACTTGACATTTAAGATTTGAAAAATAAATGAACATGCAACCCGTTTTATTCAGTATCCCTAGAGGTACGCTCATAGTAAGCAAAAATAAAAACAGGTTTTTAAATAAATTTTAGAACAGGTAGGTAGACACTCTGCAGTGTTCATTTCGCACTTAGAAAAAGGGCAGCCTTACATTAGAAATGGTCAGGGAACAATGAAAACAACTCCTGCATTCTTTTAAAAAGGCAAAGTGAATGTGATTGGATAAGTCTTTGAGTAGGAAAACATTGTCGTTAATGGAAGGCAAATACGCGGATCGGGCGGGACGGTCCTGCATGTGGTAATACGCAAGGCTTCGAAACGGAAATCGTCAAGGTCTAATTCATAAAATGGACGAGGCTATTCTTAGCAGATGCGATCATAATATTTTGTGTTGACAATAGAAGCAGCCGTCAAGGTGGCGAGACGAGAGGAGCCCAAACGCGATCGGTCACAGCCTGCTTAGAGCCCAGTCGAGGAGTGGCATGAAATGCTGAGGCGGTCATCAAAGCGCGGTAGATGCAACCATGAAATTTCTTTGCTGGCCGGCCGAACTACTAGTGGACTCATAATCTGAGCACGCGGAGCCAGTTCATGCTCTTGTAGTAAAGCGCACAGGTTAAGGAGTTGTAACCAAATAAACTTTTTGGAGAATTAGAGCTTTGCCATTGAAAGTTTTGTAAGCCATTTTCCTTAAAAATTCTTGCCGTTCCGATCTTTTAGGTTCACATAAAGTCATGGTTGTGATCCACTTCAAAATACGTCTTCCCAAGTTACGACATTTCGATCATCCGTCTCTGCCCGGAGTTACGCCTTTTAGAAATAAAGCGAGAACTCGGTTTAAAAGTGCAAGTAACCTTCGCTTTCACGGATCACATTACCGGCGATATCTTCATCCTTTACGGGGCTCTCAGAAAACCAAAATCCGGAGTTTACCGAAGCATATAGCTCGGTTTAGTTCAAATTTCTACGAATAACAACTCCATCGTGCTTCCGAAATTAACCTTCCGTCGACGAAGTGCTCGAAAACCGGCAGAAAGCAAAGACTACTTAGAACCTGTCTGCGAAGGCTAAGTCGTTCTTTGCTTCCAATTGACATTTATACTGAATTCCGTTTGGAAAAAAGCTTTACTTTGTGCTCAGTAAAGTAGCCACTTAGCAATTGAAGTCGCCCATTAAAACTTAATGCAATCTTAAAGATATCTTGCTAGCATGGAGAATGCAAATGTCCACGACTATGTGTGCCAAGAGTTCGCCTCATCCGGGATTCGAACCACGAACCATTCATGCAAGGACTAACGCCCTTAACCACTCGGCCACGCCCCGGACGGCCGAGCGTCCACGAAAATAATATAGACTCAGGAAAAGGCGATCTATCACTTATTTGTAAACCATTTTCTATTTCCTGTTATAAAAATTTGTCGGAAATGCTTGACTCGCTCTCATCTGGACGTGATGGGCCACCGACCACCAACCCTGAAGAACGCAGTTCACTGCTGATGTCAGCCACAAATAAACTAGATACTGAAATGTCGACACGCTGTGATGGATGTCGAGAATTCACCACCAGAGTTTCAAAACTAGAAGTAGATTTCGACCTCCTCACTGAAATAATAGCGTAACTTCTCAAGTATAACAAAATTAAACCCCCTGAACACGATACAAAGGGCATGAAAAACGAGAATGAGCCGGACCACATGAACCTCAAAAAACGGTAAAAGGTTATAGACGTCGCGTGTTCAGCGAAACTAGAGTCAACGCACTAAGCCATTAAACAAGTCTTCGGAGTCAACCGAAAAGGATGGAAATAAAAAAAGACAGACAGAGATGAAACTGGCTCTCGCATTTCCATAAATTTGACAAATATGGATCATGCAGAGTCCGTCTGGGCCAAAACAAAACAACGGTCGACAACCCCAAAAAAACCTGTAGGAAGTAATCGTGTGGACTTACTTACTCCAACAAAGAGCGCTAGCAGTTTGCCCTTCACATGTGTATCAAGCTATAATGTAAAAAAGTCAGGTGAGGCAGCCAAATAAAGACGTTACGGCATATATCACGGACGCGAGCAACTTAGCAACTGATCTGGATACAGCCATAAAGGCAGTCCCAGAACCTGCTACTCAATCTACCGCCAGCAAAAGAGGGCAAGATACAACCACCAGTTTTCTCCCCGAGAGATCATGTTGTGTCGTAGTGCAAGGAGGTCCTGAAGCACCTGGTGACACCCCGAAAGAGAAGGTGAAACACGATCTGCTGACATTACAAAACCTATTCAATGATACGCAAGAACCCGATGAGGTCATCGAAATCCAAAATATCTTCCGTTTGGGACTTTAGTTAGAAACAGCACAGAGAAAGTGCGGCAAAGAGCACTAAAAGTAGTATTGGGAAATGAACAGCAAGCAAATCTCATCTTGTCGCGAAAGTCCAGGCTTCGAAGCAACCATTGTGGAGTGTTTTTTTCAGCCGGACTATCTTCCAATCGAACGGATAAAAATGAGGACGCTGGTAGCTGAACTGAGAAAACGTCAGGGCGAGGACGAAGTGAATCTGAAAATAGCAAACAACCAAACTGTAAAACTAGAGCGTTCCTTCTTGTGGAATCATCTGGTGACATTGACGGTAAAAGCACCCGTGCTTGGTTCCGACAAACTTAAGTAAATTCAAAATCGACTAGTGGACTTGGCACGCCATGTGAAATATGCAGTAATAAATATCAGTCAAAAGCACCAACAAACAATTTTCAGAGACCTGAATGGCCGAATAAAATAAAAATGATGTACAGAAATGTGCAGAGTTTATTCAACAAATTGGATGAAATAAAACTCACTGTGACCCATTTCCAACCCGACTTGATAGCTTTAACTGAAACACGGTTAAATGCGCAGAGAAACGACGCGGAAGTTATGCTAGATGGTTTCCAGATTCTCCGAATGGACCGAAACGAACGAAGATGTGGGGGGATTGCGATAGTTATACGAGATGGCATCGACTACGTCAGGGTCGAGTCTTCCCCATTTCGGCACACTGATTGTGAAATACTCAGTTGTTACTTGAATGTGCCAAATCATCCAAGCCTCCATATGACCCTGGTTTACAGACCGCTAAGCCAGCGGACGTATGCGGACGATGCACTTATCACCGAGATAAAAGAAATTTGTCGAAGCAAACTCATGAAGCTACTTGGTGACTTCAACTGTCCAGACACAGAGTGGGATTTGAAAACTCCTTCGAACAGAAATTCATTCAACTGATCACAAATGAGTTCCTTACCCAACATGTTTAAGTGGATACTCGATTCAGAGATGCACAGCAGTCCATTTGTTTGGACCTCATCATAACTAGAGATGATAGTTGCATTCTCGGATTGGAATCGCACACGCCCCCTGGCCGAAGTGACCACTGCGTTCTAGTTTGGGAGTATAGTCATTTTTCTGTACCCGAAATGCGAACTGCTGAGGAAAGAAATGTATGGAAAGGGGATTATCCTCGAATGAAAAATCTGCTACAGAAGGTGAAATGGAATGCTGCACAAGCACCTGACCCAGAAAGCGATTGGCTCTTCGTCAAGAACATAATGCAGCACTTGGAAGAGAGCTGTTGCCCACTGAAGAGGAAGCTGCGCACTTACCGACAACAGTGTGGGACTACGGAAATAAAGAAGAACCTTAAATTGAAAAGGAGAATTTGGAAAAAGTACGCCAGATATCAACAACCAGAGCATTTCGCCGACTTCAAAAAACAGAGAAATGTATGTCGGAACCTGTTGAGGAGGGAACGCGCAGAATTGGAGCCGAAACTTTTAAAAATATACCGCAAAATTCAAAAAAATTCTTTGGATACGTAAATAATGCAAAACGCAGCCGGGACTGCATTCCCTGTCTAAAAATCGCCAGGGAAATACGTTGTCTGACAATTCAGATAAGCCGAACCTCTTGTAAGGTTGTTTCACGTCCGTGTACACCAAGGAGCCGGCTTTTGATGAAAGATTTTGCCCCCAAATAGTCAAATCAAACAATACAATGAGCACGGTGGACTTCACAACAGACACGGTAAGGAAAACTTTAAGTCAACTACAGCCCACTAAATCCCCTAGTCCGGACGGCGTGTTCGCAAAATTCCTGAATGAACTCTCAGACCAAATGGCCTCTCCGTTTTCCAGGATTTTCAGAAGTTCGATGGAGACCCGGGACTCTCCCTACCGACTGGAAGGAAGCAAATATAAACCCCATTTGTAAAGGTGGCGGGAGAACAGCCCCAAATAGTTTCAGACCAGTGAGTCTCTCAAGCATCTGTTGCAAAATAATGGAAAAGGTAATAAAAGCGGAGCTGATGCGGCATCTCGAAGAAAACAACTTGCTCAGTTTGCACCAGCATGGATTTCGAAGAGGTCGGTCCTTTCTCACTAACCTGATAGTTTCCATGGAGAGCTATAAGAAATCAATGGACATGGGCTTATCAGTCGACCCCGTGTACATTGACTTCACAAAGGCTTTTGACAGTGTTCTGCACAGACGACTTATATTTAAACTACACAACGTGCGTGTGGATGGAAATCAGTTGAAATGGTTAGCCAATTTTCTTACGGGCAGATCTAAGCGCGTGGGTATCGGAAACGGTAAATCAGAAAGGGCATCCGTGCACAGTGGCTTTCCGCAGGGGAGCGTTCTGGGTCCAGTTCTGTTCTTAATATATGTGAAGTACTGTCTGGACTTTCTGAACTGCGAACGCATAATGTTTGCCGATGATATCAACTTGTGGAAATTGATAGAGAGGCCGAAAGACTCTGTACAGTTACAAGACAATCTGAATCGCTTGCAACAATGGTGTGATGAGTGGTGTCTTAGCCTCAATCGTAACAAATGCCAACCTATCCGATTACGTTCGAGCAACAGGAGGCCGTTTAGATTTGAATCTCAGTACTTTATAGGAGGTCACCAACTCGAATCAGTCAACCAGTTAAGAGACCTCGGTGTGAGAATGACGTCAACTATCAAACCACCATCTCACTGCGCCAAGGTATCAAAAAACGCTATGGGTATCTTATGAGCGATTAGAAGCTCCTCCCTCAATTTTGACGAAGAAATTTTCGGCCGAGTATTTGGAGCATACGTTCGACCAATGTTGGAATATTGTGTCCAGGCATGGTATCCCTGGACGAAAAAAGATCACACCCTACTGGAGAACGTACAACGAAGAGCGACCAAGCTAGCCGGCGGATTAAGTAGCTTACCTTATGAGAGACGGCTGGAAAAGCTAAAAATACTTCCTCTCTCTTATGGACAATAGAGTAGGGATATGATCATGGCCTTCAGGGTTGTCCAAGGGTTAGATTGTGCACTTCAGTCTGACGATTTCTTCGAACTGGTGCGGACGACAAATCTTCGAGTGCACCCATACAAATTGAAGACAAAATATGCCAAAATCGAATTACGGGCCCACTTCTTCTCCCACCGGCTGGTTGTGGGATGGAACAAATTGCCGAATTCCGTTGACTTAGCGGAAAGCGTTGAGACCTTCGAAAAAATACTTGATACACTTACGCTTGATGCTCGAAAACTATATGCTCACATCCCTTAGGTCTCCTGCCCAACCCTATCTTGCTGACTCCCCGAACTATGTCTTATTTTTCTTTGACAGTGAGTCTAATATGGCATTAAATATAATCATTATTATTACCCATGTTGAGCTCCACGCAGAAGGAGCAAGCAAGACAAAATGGATTCGTTCTAGGCAATGTTGTGCCGTAGATTTGGAGAATTAATATACGCGTCTAAGGTCGTCGACATAAACATAAGATTGGGAATGTTTAATCGCCGACGAAATGTCATTAATATAAGAAAGAAACAAAAGAGGGTCTAGAACGGTAACTTAAAACTGGGCTCTTATTTGAAAATTGGGGCTCCACCAAAACCTTTTGTTTCCGATTATCCAAGTATAATTTAATAAAGTCAATAATAATAATTAATAATTATTTAATTTAATGCCAGTTTACAGGCATTGTCAGGGAAGCGTTAAACACAAGTCCGGCCAGCAGTGAAAAAAACTCCTGTGGAAAAGAAATAGCACTATAGTTGATGGTGGTTTTATGGATTGCAGGGTTCAGAAGAAGAAAAAACTGCTGGCGACAAGCTTTCGATCGTCAAGAAGGGAGGGGTTGCACGGTACCGGATATTATCAGTCGCCAATTGTTTCGTGAAGTTAGGGTTAGTACAACCAGAAGCGCCGAAGAACAGCTGTCGCTATTGGCCAAAGAAATTGTCTCTGGTGAGAACGGCCATAGTGTTCAGAGACCACAAACGCCATCGCTACGGTGCAGTTGATCAGTAGATTCAGCACCCAAAATTTGTGGAAGCTTTTCTGAATGCAAAAATCGAGTAACAGTTCTCTTAAATAAAGGATAATTTTGCGGATTTTTCACAATCATGGGTAGTTTATTCCAAATACCAATTGCATTTACAGAATAGAACCGACGATATTTAACAGTACGTGCCAGAGGAAGAAATAGAAAGACCTCACGTAGGGGGTGGACATGATGACTTAAAGAGGTAAGTGGGTTAAATGTGTGATTATATAAGAGTTCAAATAGCAAAAATAGTTCCTTTTTTAATCTACGGAACAATAAAGGATCAAGGCCCGTAAGCCGGCATCGTTCTTGGTAAGACAAATGTCGGTGTTCCGGGGTTAAAACTCTCTTGGTAAAAAAGTTTTGAACGGATTCTATTTACTTCCGCTCAGTATCACGCATGAAGCTAAATAAAAACGAACAGTATTCCAGGCCAAGTCTGACGTACATGTTATAAAGGCACATTCTAATATCGCTGGTTTTGAAATTTTTGAGGATAACTCCGGTTGTTCTACGTGCTTTGGAGACTATCAAGGCACAGTGCTCCGACAGATGGAGACTCTTGAAGTATGATACGCCCAGATCCTTAATAACCCCAGGCACATTTATGGCGTGACCTTCAATGCTTAGTTGAGGTAGGCGGTCGTCGCCAACCACCATGACTGAGCGCTTATGCTATGAAAGAGAAAGGCGCCATGTGAGGCACCACTGAGCGAAAGCCTGTAGGTCGATCTTTAGGAGCTCAAGCACTATGTCACGATCTGCCGGCTTATATTGATATGCAACTTTAAGATCATCAGCATACATGAAAGGCTTACCATTCTGAAATAAATCGGGTACATCATTAACGAAAAGGCAAAATAGAAGCGGACCGAGTACACTACCCTGAATGACTCCACTCCTCACACGTCTGGGGTTGGAGATAGCATTGGACATCTTAACTCGTTGTGTACGAGTGCCCAGGTAAGAGGATATAAATTTCAAAAGTTTGCCACATATTCCGAAAGAGGACAGTTTCAAGAGAAGAAGAGTATGGTCAACACGATCAAAAGCCTTAGTAAAATCGAAATATACTGTGTAAAGTGCAAAACCCTTGTCCCTAGATTGGAGAACATAGTCAAAGAAGGAGAGTTGACAGGTGTCACAAGACCGAGCTTTGACGAATCCATGCTGAGCAGCACTCAGTAAGTTATTCACTATTAAGTGACACATCATCTTATCTTTGATGAATGTCTCTAAGATCTTCCAAACTGCGGGGTGATTATTGGCCGAAAGTCATCAAATGACGTAAATTTGCCGTGCCTAGGAATGGGCAAAATGTGTGATTCCTTCCACAGGGTAGGATAAGTTTCACTTTCAAGAGCGAGATTAAATATCTTGCATAGGAGGGATGGGAAAATCGGATTTGCATCGGCATCCAAAATTTCGTACAGTTTTGCAGTGCAAACATTTACATCCGAACTAAGGAAGACATCAGTACAGTCGTAGGAATTAAGGTATGTTAATAATTCGGTTGAGCGAGTTAATCGGAAATCGCGGAGAAAGTTATACTTTGGGGACAACGTTTTGTCAGCCTCGAATTCCAACGTTGAAACGACTATGTCATGGTCTGAGCCCCCGAGTGGGCCAATAGGCATGTAGCCTCTACAAAAAATCAGGTCAAGTATGCTTGATGCTCGAGTGGGAAAATCGACAACCTGAGTCCACATCCCAACATGCACAGCCTCAAGAAAGTCTTCGAACCCTCTGAGGCCTGAAGGAGGAGACCAGCAGACTTCGGGAAGATTAAAGTCACCCGCAACCAATTGATACTTAAAGCTTAAGTCGGCCGCAGCATGAAATGCCTGTGAAAGTAAACGATCAAAATTGCCATTGGCGTTGGGAGGGCGATAGGCGCAGCCAAAGAGTAAGGAGCCCTTATTTTTTAGAGCAACCTGGAGCCAGCAGCTGCCTTCTACTGCGGAAAAGTGCGGGAGGTCAAGTGGCAAAAATGTAAGCGTTTGCTTAACGTAGACGCGACCGCCTCCAGCACGGCTGTCTTGGCGATCATTGCGAATGGAATTCTAGCCTAGAAGAGAGAGTTCGGAGTCAGCAACGGAGGCTGACGCCCACGTCTCAGTTACTTAAACAATATCTGGACAATGGACGAACACCAGAGTCTGAAGCAAAGGCATCTTACAACAAGGATCTGACATTTAAAACAAAAAGTTTGAAGGGAAAGGCTGTTAGTTTCTGAGGGAGGTGGGCTACGTCGTTCAGTGCTTGGCTGCTCACGGAGAAAACGGTCCGGATGCAACCATCCGGTTCTGCAAAAAATTTTGTGGCATTTAAAGATTCTGACGTGGATAAAAAGGGGTAGGACTTGGGCGAGGAAATGACGGGCAGGTGAACTGGTAACCATTGTTAGCTAACTTATTTTCATCTGGAAATCCGCGGGCCAGATACTTCAGCACATTCTAGCCGGAACAAAACTGAGGATCGGATGAGTTAACTGATCCAGTATGGACACTAGCATGAGGAATACATTGGTAAAACGGCCGTGGTGGAAACAAGTTAGGGGGTGGGGGACGCATTGCTTCCACTGGAACAGTTCTATTAAACGGTGTGAAAATTGGCATATTCGGCCTAACTGCCTCGAAAAAACACCTCTGGAAAAACACTACGTTTTGAGTCGGGGTGTTTGAGGCACTGTTAGCCGATTGTGGAGGAAAAGATTGTATACTGGTGCTGGATTTATCGGGTGTCCGGATGGCTGAGACAGCAATTGGATTTGCCTTTGACCTAGACGCAGGCTTAGGCTTACTAGGGGTTGCTGGGGAGTCGATAGAGACGTGTTTATACCACGCGTGATGGTGTGTTTAAAGATCTCAGCACTAAGAATAGTCGAATTCCCTACGGAATTGACTATGCCGTGACGTGCAGAGGCCTAAGATGGTCTTGTATAGGACTTATTCAAACTGACATTATTCGTCAATATCTTGGTGTTGGTTTTTGCCGATTTTAATTTATTCAGTCTTCGCTGCAGGGGTGTGAGGTCTGGCGAAACGGAGCAGCGCCATTTACGGCAGAAGTCTCTAG